AGATACAAAAAAAAAAAAAAAAAAAAAAAAAAAAAAACCACCTGCCCCCTCTGGCGGGTTTATCTTGTTCTTCTGTAGTCGCAGTCCAGTCTGAGACAAGGTAATTCAACTAAGCTGTTTTCTAACAGCCTGCATCTCACATATTACAATACATTTGAAGAGTTTCGAGAATTTCTCTACTCTCTGAGCCCGGCCATGGGTCAGGCTCGTCTGGTGCTTCCCTGGTCAACTAGGCTGTTGCTGCTGGAGGCCCGCTGCCCCACATATCCATCATAGCCTGGTTGATCTGGCACCTGGTGAAGATATTTGTCCAGTTTCCTCTTGAAGGCTTCTACACTTGTTTCAGCCGTGTTTTTGATATCTTCTGGTAAGATGTTGAATAGTCTGGGACTCCGGATGTTGATACAGTGTTCTTTTACGGATGTTGATAGTGTTCTTTTGTCCTCACCACACCCCTGCTCCTCACTGGGTTTATTTCACACTTCCTCCCATATTTCTCACTCCAGTATGTTGTTATGGCATGTGCAGATTTGGGACAAGGCCCTCGAGTACTTTCCAGGTATATTTTATCATGCATCTCTCTCCTCCACTCCAATGAGTACATGTTCAAGACTTGAAGGCGTTATGGCCTGGTTGACAGCGTATTTTATTAAGAAACTTGCCTTATTCCTTATTCCTGTTGCAACTAGTCCCAAATTTCACACACTTTTTTTTTTTAGAAAAAGTTAACCTCCCGCCTTCTCCCACATAAAGCTGACCTATCTTTACGTGGAAAATGGGAAAGGGAAGGGTCTGAATAATGAAATCAATCTTAACAACAAAGAGGCACGGTAGGATGTGCCAATACCTTAAAAGTGCAAGTACACATACAGTTATGAACAAAGAGCCCTAAGTCTTTTACTCAAAACAGGCGAATTAGCAACGTGCTCCGGTTTATCGACCTTGCCAAGTGCCTTATAAGTTTATTATCAAAGGAGTATATCGGGCGGGATGGGCAGCCTAAGTGTAATGTGCGCCCATCCTGCAAGCAAGCACAAACTGGCTGTCAGCGAGAGGAATGCGGGACAGTGATCACCGGAACCTCTCTCTGGTAGACTTTTAAATCCTTGGAGCTCCCAATGTTGATATGCTGATGTAGTATATTAAAGTAACCATCCAGAAAAGTACTACCTTTCAAATCATTGCTGATAAACTACCTCTCGTTTGTTTACTTTCCCTAATCTTCCATAAGTAAGGTCAATCAAAACAGTAGTCCAGCAGTGGCAAGCCAGTGGAGGCTGCTGCTTATGCTGTGTCAAGCGGTTCATCTTAAACTGATTAAGACCCAAGATTCAGAGTACACACTTTTCGAAGTGAAAAGTTCTAAGTACAGCAGAGGCCCCTAACGGCAAGTTCCTAGCGTCTGCATTTATAACACCCAGGTTTTACAAGCCCACCAAGGAAGCAAGCTAAGAGTTCCTTAAAAGTTGTTTTGTTCTGAGAGTTACAAACCAAAGCCGGGATCCTGAATGATGCTGAGGAAGGAAGGTTGTGATGGTCTGCAACGACCCGAGTCATGGGATGAGACACTCAAGTGAGGTAAGGAATAGAGCACGTGTGTATTAGCCCTAATATGTGAATTACAACACATCATCGACTGGAATTTCCTTGATATTTTTCTGAACTCTTCATGCCTATTAAATAATTTAAAAGTTTTTGTGATTACAGTGACAGTTGTTCGCTTCTCTGTGCATTATTTACATTTCTTAGCAATAACGGAACCGATACACCTACTATTGCACTAATAATGCTTCAAATGCTAGAAAGAAAACCTTCACTTTGCTACTGTCGCCCTCTAACATTTAACTTGTACAAGTCTCCTCCCCTTCACAAACCACTCTTCCTGCCCTTTTAATGGTGAGTTAGAGTGTGACGGTTATGTTGGTCTGCCGGCCGCTAGCAGCAATAGCATGGTTGACCATACATTAAATAAGGTAACCTCACTATATCAGGCTGAGTGTAGAATGACACTCGAAACCGGCCACAGGTTTTCTTCCACTAAATATGTTCTCCCCAGTGCGGCTAGCTCTGCCGTCCCAATAAATTACATGGGTTGTCCTGTCTGCCGTAATATTTTCAAATCATGTGTCAAGGTCAACCCCATCCTCACAATCGCAGCGCAGAGGAAGACCTCAATTTTGATCCTAGTTACTCAAGCCAGAAACTAATATTTTTCAGTAATTGTAGGGATAGCCCATGCCAAGGTATAATTTGATTAACTAGTCAACACGGATTCGCCAGTGGACGTTCTTGCCTAATAAATTTAATGACATTCTTCATTAAGGCATTTGAGGTACTAGACCATGATAAAGAATACGATATCGTCTACCAAGATTTCGGCAAGTATTTTGACAGGCCCATACTAAGACTGTTAAAGAAAGTGGTAGCAAGCACAACCATAATAAATAATATAGAACTTGATCATACAAAATGTGAAAAGAACTCTGCAAGGTGTGTAGGGGCACTGAATGACCATACGGATTTAGCGTTTTTTGTGGAAATAATAAGACTTTCAGAGAACAGATAATGGCGAAACATAGATGGCAGCTTGCGAGTTTGGTTAAAGAAGACGGAGGGAAAAAAATGAAAGTCTGTAGCGAGTGAGTGCCCCGGGAAGTAACGAAATGAGAACACAGTGAGATAGTGATGAGTTTGCAGTGACTGATAATCGGTGCACAGTGGCATTAAGTGTAGTTACATGAATACTTGGTGTTGTGTGGTTTGTGTTATACAGTAGTGACATGGATATTTGATGTTAAGTGAAGCTTGTGTCACACTATAGCAACACGAATATTAGTGCTGTGGGAGATTTGCCCCACATTGTGTACAACAATGTTAATAGTCCTGTCATTGTCCACATAACTGCAGTAGTTGAGGTAATGATCGATGTTTAGTTATAGTGAGGCTGTATTATGAAGACTGTTACATAATATTATAAAGCAATAAGATCACAGTAAACAAGTGGTGTCATAATATGTAAAACAACTACTGTAAAAAATATGGAGAAATATAAGAAAAATCAAGCTTCATAAAAAAACATTAATTTTAATATACATAATAGTATAGGGTTACACAAATTAATTTATAATTAATAAAATTTGGGAAGAGTTTAAGTTATGCGTGACGGGTCCTTGACACTCCCACTCTCCTCAAACTGGGAAGGGTGTGATGTCCTATGTGAAGTGACATCTCAGCCTTATAAGCCTTCTTCTGTTCTGTTACTTTTACAGGTCCTTGATAATGTGAGAAATCACGAAAGCGCTTATAAGTTCACTATATTTTTCACTGTGGTTGTTCTGCATAATATTATGAATTAAGAACAAAAAATATAAGAACATTGCAGTAGATCTACTAGCCCATGCTAGGTAGATCCAACTCACCCACTTTTATATCCGTCTAACTTTCACGTAAAGATGGTTTTTGATACATGGGATCAGCTTAGTTTTTCAGAGCTTTTGTATCCAAAAAATATGACCTGTAAAGAGGGCACATGTGCTACCGTTACAAAACTATTCTACAACGTTTTGCCTGCACATTAGGCTTCATCAGTCGAATACTGAGGTGGCGAATATGGTGACAGGAGAAGCAGTGGAGAGATAAAGATGTGATCTGTCCATCAGCTTTTGTAGTAGTATTGACGCGGTCAGTCCTGCATGCAGATGTGTTCAACTTCATAGTCATGAACAATGAACACTGTTCAAGACTATGAAGTTAAAGATATCTGGCTAAGGGAATGACCACCTCAAACTACCATTCTCTCCACTGATTCTCGTCACCATACTCGCCACCTTTGTATTCGACAGATGAAGCTTACTGTACAGGCAAAACGTTTCGGAACTGCGTAGGCAAAAAAGTTTCGAAACAGCACAGGCAAAACGTTTCGGAACAGCACAGGTAAAACGATCCGGAACAGCACAGGCAAAAGCTTCGGAATAGCACAGGCAAAACGATCCGGAATAGCACAGGCAAAACGTTTCGGAACAGCACAGGCAAAACGTTCCGGAACAGCACAGGCAAAACGTTCCGGAATAAAGATATCCATCCAACTGTTGAAAATTAATCTTATTTATCTACTTGTCGGTATTGTTATACCCTTATTATACCGATACTACCTGTTAAAATTTGGTAGTATCAGTATAAGCCTTGTATATATAAAACTCAGTTTGCCTCAACTATATCTGTATTCTATGTCAATAAGACTGTCACTCTTTATACTCGTTCGGGCCTAAAAATGCAAACAGCTCCCTACGTCACAATGCAGAATATACTGAATATACAACTATTAAAACAAAACTACTACACTACAACAAATTTTATCCATCAAAACTTCTGAAAACTATCTTAGCAAATTTAAAATGTAGTAAAATTCGTAAAAATACAAGCTTGATACAGCAGTATTTCAATTATAACGACCTAATACCTAGTTTTTATTTATACACGCAACGTTCCAGACGTGTAAAAGAAACGTTGGTTGCCTTGACAGTCAACTAGACAACATTGTCCAGTCTCTCCCGGGCTCTGCTACTTCCTGTTAATCTGCGTTCAACACTTCCCCTTCCTTTTAACATCCATCTCTCTTCTTTTCACCACACCGTCCCAAATGCAGGTTATATAAGTTTTAGGGCATCTTACATAATCCAACAACTTGCAAAGTCAGCCTCAAAATGCCAAACCCCGAACATAATTACTGTCAATAGTTTTTCGTTTTCTACAATGTCAAGCCGGATAGGGTACCAGACGTCACCATCACTTACATGTACACTTGGGTAACGGGTTCCTCATGGACTTTATAAACTAACTAGCATTCCCAACAAAGTTTTATTGTTTACATTCGTCAGTAAACGTCAACTAAATACACTTTTAGTACAACATACCCAGCACCATCAAGCAAGAAACTCGGCCAAGACAATTACCACCTTCCTTATCTTAACCTCGGACTAATTAACACCTGTTACACTCACCTCTAATAAATAGTGCTTCACTTCGCAACATCCTTGCTTCGTCTCCTCTCAATCTTCACACAAAAACAATCAGTTCATTAGCTATCGGGTCCGTTCGTCTTTGCAATCTTAAGAGTTTACACTGTTCTAATGGTTTCCACTAGTGTCAAGACATATAATGTGATATATTCACCTCTCACTGGAATGTATTAAAGAAATAAGAGTGGCTGGTTCATCCGTGGCGCTTAAGAGCCAGTCAAGCAATAATAGGGCAGTTAGTTTATCTGCGAGGTGTAGGAGAGTCAGACAGGTAATAATGAAGCAGCCTGTATCCGTAGAGTGTAGGAGCGCCGAACAGATCACTAGGGATATCCTCACGACTTCTGGTCGTCGGCGCCAGGAAACACACTCCTAGCTATCATTATGCACTTTTGCTGGTGCAGCTGGCCGCCTGACCTCTGCGTTGTCACGACATAAAACATTACTGCTGGTCAACATGGCTCCAGCGGCTGTTCTGGCCTCTCCACCTGACAAATAAAGCCGGGTGCGAGAAGAATGCGCTGCTCGTCCAGCACGTGCACTCTCTCCCACGGTCAGGATACAACTGATTGGCTCACCGTCACTTTGACTCCGTCAGCCACACTGAGTTGAGGCTCGGTCGCCCCACACACACGCACACATTTTCTGTTAACTATAAACACAAACACACAAAAACACACGATATATAAAGATCAATGTAAGAAGACTTTATTAACGCAATTACCGTAAAAAATGCAAATCAGATGGAACTTAACGAGGTGGCAAGGGTGTTCCAACAGAACAATGGCGGAGGGAAGGGGTTAGTTTCTCCCTCCCTCCAACACAGCCCCAAACAAAACCCCTACACCCTCACCCATGCGGTCGCCGCCAGGCTGTGGGTGGGGCACACTACTGTGCCCACCACGTGTTACACTCATTGAATCAGGTAGCAAAAGAAGCAAAAGAACCGTGTTTGTAGTTAAGACGAAGACGGACTAGTATCACAGGTGCACAGGGAATAGAGAGACTTTCCACCAGCTATGCTGTATAGCCCTTGTGGCTTAGCGCTTCTTTTTGATTATAATAATAATAATCCACCAGCTACAACTGCCTACTTTTCAGACCCACAGAATGTACGTAAAGTCATGTATCCATATTTATACAAAAATTATTACTATTTACTCCTCCCCCAGTTTGTATCTCCCATGTACTCCCACGTTCACTCCCACCTGCTCGGCGCTGAACACCTCTTCCACCTGCTTCGTCTGCACAACCAATCCTGCTCCGAAGTACGCGTCTTCCACCTGCTCTCCTGTGCACATCCACCTGCTTTGCCACACCTGCTTTCCTGTGAACATCCACCTGCTCTACCACACCTACTTTCCTGTGCATATCCCTCACCTGCTCCCATAAACATGTTTTGCATCTGCTCCCATTACAATGAAAATTTTCACTCGAGATCATCAGAAGCTTTAAATATTCTAAGACTATTTGTCTCTGTCTGTAGAGGGAACGTCGTTTCCTTGTTAACTAGTATATTATTTGATTTTTCTTAATGGTGCTAGTCTTGAGTATGCTTCTCTTCCTCTCACGGCACTGACATATATGTTACTGCTACTATCGCTCCACTAAGCTTCATCAAAGCAATTATTCATTTGTTCCTAGTTAATACGTCGGTAGTGTTGTAATTGCATTTATTGAAAACATCCTCACTACGATTTGTAATGGACTACTTGGGTTTGTTAAGTATGAATTTCAATTAGGTTGTGATTAGAATTTGATGTGTTCGATACAAATGCGTTAACCAAAACACAGTTATTTGTAAATATATAGTTAAGGATATTTTACAATTTGGTAAATTCTACTCTTGCTGGCTTCAAATGAATTTAACATACCCCTGATACTTTGTATATCACTGTTCCAGTTGATTGCCTGGTGAACTACTGTTGTTGTTGGAGGCCCACAGGCCAACATATCTGCTACGATAGCCGGGATGATCTGACACACTGTGGAGGTTGTGATTGTTTCCCCTTTGAAAACTTCTACGCTTGTTTCAGCAATATTTTTCATATCTGCTGGTTGCAGGTTGAAAACCTCCAAGAAGATATAAACAAAGTTTTCCAGTGGGCAACGGTAAACAATATGATGTTCAATGAGGACAAATTCCAACTACTCCGTTATGGAAAACTGGAGGAGATAATAACTAGAACAGAGTATACTACTGACTCCGGCCATACAATAGAGCGGAAAAATAATGTAAGGGACCTGGGAGTAGTAATGTCTGAGGATCTCACTTTCAAGGATCACAACAGTGCCACGATCGCACGTGCAAAGAAAATGATAGGATGGATAATGAGAACTTTCAAAACGAGAGATGCCAAGCCCATGATGATCCTTTTCAAATCACTTGTTCTCTCTAGGCTGGAATACTGCTGTACATTAACATCTCCATTCAAAGCAGGTGAAATCGCAGATCTAGAGAGTGTACAGAGATCCTTTACTGCACGTATAAGTTCTGTCAAGCACCTTAACTACTGGGAACGCTTGGAAGCACTTGACTTGTACTCGTTGGAACGCAAGAGGGAGATATATATCATAATCTACACTTGGAAAATCTTGGAAGGAATGGTCCCAAATCTGCACACAGAAATCACTCCCTACGAAAGTAAAAGACTGGGCAGGCGATGCAAAATGCCCCAATAAAAAGTAGGGGCGCCATTGGTACACTAAGAGAAAACACCATAAGTGTCCGGGGCCCAAAACTGTTCAACAGCCTCCCATCAAGCATTAGGGGAATTGCCAATAAACCCCTGGCTGCCTTCGAAGAGAGAGCTGGACAGATACCTAAAGTCAGTGCCGGATCAGCCGGGCTGTGGCTCGTACGTTGGACTGCGTGCGGCCAGCAGTAACAGCCTAGTTGATCAGGCCCTGATCCATCGGGAGGCCTGGTCATGGACCGGGCCGCGGGGGCGTTGATCCCCGGAATAACCTCCAGGTAACCTCCAGGTAACCCAAGGATGTTGATACGGTGTTCTCTTATTGTGGCCATGGTTACCTGGAGGTTACCTGGAGGTTATTCCGGGGATCAACGCCCCCGCGGCCCGGTCCACGACCAGGCCTCCCGATGGATCAGGGCCTGATCAACTAGGCTGTTACTGCTGGCCGCACGCAGTCCGACGTACGAGCCACAGCCCGGCTGATCCGGCACCGACTTTAGGTATCTGTCCAGCTCTCTCTTGAAGGCAGCCAGGGGTTTATTGACAATTCCCCTAATGCTTGATGGGAGGCTGTTGAACAGTTTTGGGCCCCGGACACTTATGGTGTTTTCTCTTAGTGTACCAATGGCGCCCCTACTTTTTATTGGCGGCATTTTGCATCGCCTGCCCAGTCTTTTACTTTCGTAGGGAGTGATTTCTGTGTGCAGATTTGGGACCATTCCTTCCAAGATTTTCCAAGTGTAGATTATGATATATCTCTCCCTCCTGCGTTCCAACGAGTACAAGTCAAGTGCTTCCAAGCGTTCCCAGTAGTTAAGGTGCTTGACAGAACTTATACGTGCAGTAAAGGATCTCTGTACACTCTCTAGATCTGCGATTTCACCTGTTTTGTATGGAGATGTTAATGTACAGCAGTTACTCTACTTTTCACTGGGCTCATTTTACTTTCTCCCTTGTCTCCTGTTCCAGTGTGTATATTATCGGGTATCTCGTCTTCTCTCCAGGGAGTACATTTCCATTTCTTTATGGCGTTCCCTGTAGTTTTATTGGTTTGCTTCATTCTTTCATATTTGGCGTTTTAAATTAAACTTGGCAAGCACCTTGGCAAGCACGACAATGTTTGGGGGACAGGTCTGCAAGGTGTTCCATTTTATACTGATTTTCAAACACCTGCGAATTTGGATTTATTTATTTTGTGTATACAATAACAATGATTAAACTCCGGTTATAAATTTTCATCTCCGGCACTTCACCTACATCACTTGTGGTGTTAAACAGCTCTGCGTAAATAAGCAGCATCTTGAACTTAGAAACCGACTCGTTCCTATGACAGGGAAACAGGTTTTTCCCCCACTGTGTAATTACCAAGTAGAGTACATTAGCAGCACGTTGTTTATATCCAAATTTATTTGAAAATTGCATATCCATACAAATCGTATAAGTTGCATACCTATCCATTCCTCTCCCTCCACGTCTCCCATCTCATCCTTGTGGGCGGGACGAGACATGTGGGCGTGGGCGAGGTAAGAATTAAGCTAACTCCTGCGTTGACATAACAGAAACCGCCCAGCTCCTCCCTTCTAACTCCCTTCAAACATTTCCTGCCCAAGCTTTCTCACCACACTTCTTTGATATCTGGAGACTCTCCAACAACCTGCAAGTGTCTTCGTGTCATTTAAGTTTATCATATCTGACAATAGGTAATATATCTTAATGTGTACATACCCTAATAATGAACAATATGATGTGATAAATAGTTTGTCCCAATGATATAAAACTGACCGGTTTGGAGGGTTCTTTAATCAGGTTTGAGGCAGTAGTGTGTAAAATATCCGAGTGATATACGCCATGCTAGCAGTTAGTGCTTTGGAGGAAAGGGGTGATGGATGGGTGCGGAGGGGCTGTAGGTGGAAGAGTGGACAGTAGGGGTATGGGATGGGGCAGAGGCGGGGAACCCCACCAACGTCACATCACCACCCGTCTCCCTTCCCCCCATCACAACAACCATCACCACTCACGAAAATACCCCACGACACATACCACCACCGCTCTACCTCACTCAACGTTTTCACCCCTTCCTCGACACACACGTTGCCAAGATATGTGTAAGACGTAGCCATCGTCACCGACAGTGCCACGCCCATTACCCTAGAGACAAACGCGCCTACAGTCAGCTTACTGCTTACCTCAAGGTTACCTGAAGGCGATTTCGAGTGTCAACGCCCCAACCTGGCTGTTGGTGCTAGTCACCTAACTGGTCAGGAACTTATAAAGTTCTCTCTTGCAGAGAGCCAGGGGTTCGCTGGTAATTTCCCTTGTGTATGAAGGGAAGCTCCTGTAAAGTCTTTACATTCGTGCTACTTCTTAGTGTGCTCTTTGCACCTTTGTTTTTCATTCCTTTTCTTGCTCTCGTAGGGAGAGATTTCTGTGTGCAGGTTAGGGACTAGTCCTTCCAGAATCTTCCAGTTGCAGATTATGATATCTCTCTTTCGCCTGCGCTCCAGTGAGTACAAGTTAAGTGCTTCCAGGCGCTCCCAATAGTTAAGGTGTTTGATGGAACTTATACGTGCAGTAATGGTTCTCTGTACATTCTCTAGATCTGCAATATCACCTGCCTTGAATGGGGATGTTAATGTACAGCAGTATTCCAGCCTAGAGAGAACAAGTGATTTAAAAAGGATTATCACTGGCTTGGCATCTCTTGTCTTGAATGTTCTCATTATCCATCCTATCAGTTTCCTAGCAGATGTGATAGTGGCATTGTTGTGATCCTTGAAGGTAAGATCTTCGGACATTACCACGCCCAGGTCCTTCATATTACTTTTCCACTTAATTGTGTGATTAGAGTTTGTAGTATACTCATACCTAGTTATTATTTCCTCCA